CCCTCTTCCTCTGAAGCCTGACTACCTTCCTGGAGCAGATCTTTTTAGCCGCTTTTGATAGTTCCATTTGATGATCAAAAACTGAATTTGACCATACTTTTTTTCTAATTGAAAAGTTAACCCTGTGTTCATATATCTGAAGGTTGGGGCTCTGGCTGTGCTGATACGGCAAACAAATATCATATGGGTCCTTTTTATAGCATGCACGGGGGTTTTAGACTATATTCTAACTCAGCAGAAAGATAGTGCTGTATTGGCTGAATCTAGTCCATCACAAGGTAAAGATGCTTTCTCAGTTTGGAATCAAGGTGTCGGAACAGGCTCTAACTTAAGAAAGCGCAGAATCGGTAATCAGGCAGCTACATTCAGCTCTTCTGTCCACCAAATGGTTGCTTCCACAAAGCCTTCCTCAGGTTCTCTCATCTCATCTTGTTTTGAGTTTTTTCATCTGCATTTATGTGGTTTTAGGTCACATAATAGCATCTGTTGATTTTTATGTCAATCCAATTATCTTCTTTTTGACAAGTAATTTCTGTTCAGTTATCTAAAGTACATCGGGTCAAATAATTACAATCAAACACCGTTGTGAATACATCAAGTTCAATTGTACAAGCTGTCAAGTGTTTCTTATGAGCAGAAATATCCAAACGGTTTACTTGTGAACCTGCATGGTGAATGCAATTCATCTGGTTTGGAAGAAACAACCTGGTGACCGTGGAAGATAAAAGGGGCAAAAAATGTTCCACTTATTGTGTCCTACATAGAGATACTTTTGGTTGTGCTTTTTTCAATATCTTCTTTTTAACGATTAGAGCACCTCAACTCCACATTAGGGAAGTGAGTGGGGGGAGGAAAAGGAACTTTTATTACTTGAAATATTTATAAGTGTTTTCCTTAGTAATATACTTCTCTTTGTTTGTTAGGTTACTACTTAACAAGAGAAACTTGAGATTTTGAGATTTTGATCCCAGCAACTTTGGTTACTTACCAAAGTTCGGTGGCGAAGACTCAGATTGACTATCTCCTCCTCAGGAGATG